CAGGCATAAAGGCCTGAGTCCCAAGCCCTAGTACCCATGTTCTAAAAATGCTGGGTGTGGTAGCAGGTTCTCATAATCCTAAAGCTGGGACGGCAGAACCTGGTGAATTCCTGGGGCTTGCTGGACACACAGCCTGGCCCGCTTGCTGAGCGCCAATCTCTGATGAGACTGTCTCAAAAAACAAGATGGGTGGTTCCTGAGGAACTACACCCAAGGTTAACTTCTAGCTTCCGCAGGCATCCACACCCATTTGTACATGCACCTGCACACGTGTGCACACATACCATCTCCCAAGAAAACCTCAAACCATGTAGAAAAATGACAAAACGGAAACTTGTCTTTGCTAGACCACTGGCAAAACTTATAAAGAAAAGAGCACCCAGACTGGCAACATCATTCACAGAGTAAGGGGCTTGCCTCCAACCCCAACAACCTGCATTCTATCCCTGGACCTCATATGGTAGAAGAAGAAAACATTCCTGCAAGTGGTCCTCTGTCCCCCACATACGCGACATACTACACACACCTCCCATATGTAAATACACATTTTTAAAAGAAAAAGTATAGATTACTCATACCAGAATTTTTGAAAATAGAAAATCACCTATAGAATTTGCAGCAATGATTGCATTAGTAGTCCATTGTCTTATTGAAAGAAACTAGATAGAGAAACAATGTGCAATGTTTAACAATTTGCTTGATATGAACAAATTCTTTTTCAAACACAAATCTCCAAAAATTGACAAGGGAAGAAATGCAATCATTTTCTTGTTTTCTCTACTGAATTTAAGCCCTTCCCACACAGAAAAATCACAGTTAGTTTCCCTTGTAAATTCAAAGGTAAATAGCACCAGTCTTACAAAGTCTTTCTGAAGAACAGGTTGACACAGTATCAAAACTCCATAATGAAATTAGAAAAAAGTAAATAGACTAAAACTTCTCATGAATTTAGGTGCAAATATTTGAAAAACATAATAGTTAACTGAGTCTAGATACTAGAAAACTGGTCTAGACTAACATGTCAAGACAAGTTTGGAGAAGGCAGGGCTGGAGAGGTGGTTCAGAGGTTAAAGGCTCACGGATGCTTTTCCAGAGGATCTGGGTTCGGTTCTCAGCACTCCCCGCCCCCCAACAGCTGACAGCAGCCTGTAACTCTAGTTCCAGAGGATCCGACACCCTCTTCTGGCCTCTGAGGGCACTGCAAACGTGGTACACAGCTACAACATACAGGTAAAACACCTGTACAGATAAGAACAAAGGTAAAGGCACACGGTAGAGGTGGTGGTGGTTTGGATTTAGTTCAGGATGGTAAAATGTGTTCAGTGTTTAAAAATTAATAAGCAGAATAAAGCAGGAAAATAATGATCATTATGAAGACAGAATGAATAAAATTTAATAACAGTCAAGATAAAACTCATCAATCAACGAGTACAAGGAACTTTTAAAATAATGTATATGTACAAAAAGTTCTCTGTCTAGGCTGGGGATGGAGCTCAGTGGCAGAGTGCTTGATGGTGCGCACAAAGCTCTAGCACCACACACCAACATAACTCCTGGGCAAACACTGGACGGGACGGGATTGGGAATAGAACAAAGCTAGTGACCACAGGAATGGCTATTCTAAAATGTGCTGGACTTCAGCCACTCTAGTAAGACAGAGGGGAAATGCACAAGATAAAAGATATATGAGCCTACCTGGCACTGGGTGGGGACAGGCATAAAGGGTGGGCAGAGGGTAAAAGGAGAGGCAGAAAACTGTGCAAAGGTCAGGAACTATGTAATTTTCTTCTCTCCGATAAATAATATAACTAGGCCTCAGGAGGTATATTATTTAGTTTAGGTAACTCTTTAAGTAGAAAAGGCAATTGATCCAGGATCTAAGTTTCTTTTCAATATGCTATGATCTTTCTTTGGAAGGAAGTTAGAAAAATCTAAAGAAAATTTTGTCCAGAATATGTTACTGGGTCTCCCAAACCTAGACAAAATTGCTACTGAATTCATTACCGAGAACCTGGTTTGCTTACATAGCTAAGAATATAAGAACATTTTAGGCTGAAATGAGTATAGTCCTTTTCTACTCTGAATTCAAAGAAATGTTACAAAAATATTTTGAGGGGGAAAAAGAGGAGAAGGAAAGAGAGCGAACACAAACTAATGATCGTGAAAGAAAGGGAGGGATATTTGCAGATGCTGGCGATGAAGGAAACCCTTAAAACTAAAGACGAGGGGAATGACCCAGACTCAGACACGATTAAGGACTAGTGCCTGGGGTGTTAGTGGGGATCCAGGAATGGCAGACTCGTTTTCCAGCTTTTAAGGAAAAAGTATGTGTGCGTGAGCGGTAAGGAATAGATTGCCACCTCCATCTTGTGAACCGCGGACAAGCTCCTCAGTCAGCGGAGGAGGCAGATGAAAGAACGATCCACAGAGTAGGGACCCTGTCAGGGACTGTAGGTGGGCGGCCATCGAACAGAGACAAGATATGCATGAAATGGAAACCTCAGGCCTGTGTCACATCAAGTGTGTGGGAAATCCATGATATTTAGGTGGCACAGGAACTCTGAGATAGAAATTCTGAGCACCACTGAACTTGCTAGGTCCCCGACAACAGCAGAAACAAAACAAAACAAGGATACTCGCACAACATAGCATACAGGGCTTCCCTGACAAGGTGTGGGAGTTTTTTGTTTCTGGTTTTTTTTTTCAAAGAAAAATATGAACATGGAACTGGAAAAATGGCTCAGTGATTAACAGCACTGACTGCTCTTTTGGAGGACCTGGGATTCATTCCCAGCACCCACATGGCAGCTCACAACTGTTTGTAACAACAGTCCTAGGACATACAATGTCTTCTTCTGGCCTTTGTAGGCACTGCACACATGTGGTACATAGATGCACATTCGGGCAAACACTGATGTACATAAACAAGGAAAAAGTTCTAGAAGTAGAACATTTTCCAAGAATTGTAAATAATCGGGGACCTCCGAGTGCCAGCCTCAGTGTCCCCTTCAGGGCTCAGAGAAGACTCCCAGCAAGCGCGGGGCTCCTCTGAGGGTGAAATGAACTCTCACTACATGCTTTTCAGCATCCGTTTCTTTATTCCTCTCCTGCTGCTCTCCCTCTCTTCTGTAAAGTTTCCAGTTTATATACACACACAAAACCAAGGCAATTCTCTGGGCGTGGACATCCCTTTATCACTGAAGGTCCCAATGTGATCTGTATGAATGACCCCTTTCCTGACTGCATGTCCTGCCAAAGGGAAGAGGGCTGCAGAGAGGTGGTTTCTAATGTATCTCAGAGAAGGAAGTCGAGATTAGACTGTGGGAACCAAGGCTATTGACTGCGTGACTAAACTTCCCACTGGAGGTCCCACAGAGTGTGTGGGGGATGAGCCAATAAACCAGTATATGGGAGAGAGTTGTGCGTACTTGTCCATACTCTGCTGAATCTTGCACCAGGGGAGAGTGCTTCCACTTCACAAGAGATCCACTGTGAGAATTGGTCGATAAGCAAAAGGCAGGCCCAGCGCCTTGCGGACTGGGTTTGCCTCCATCAGAAAGTGTTCGTTCTGGTGGGTCAGCCTTCTGCTATGCATCTGAAAGCTCACTTCATGAGTCCTGTGGCCCGTAGCAACACATCATACAAGACATATTGCTGTAAAGTAGGATAACACATACAGCATGTAGAATGTTCACCTCACCCTAGAAGATGCTATAATCCAAAATGAAACTACAAAATGACTATGTGGAAAATAAGTTAATTAAAAAAGAAAATCCACAATGAAAAATAAGATTTTAAAAAAACTTGACATTTAAAAATGAATAGACACTTTGAGAAGTTATAAATTTTATTACTTGAAAAACAGAATATATATATTAACATTATATTATGCATAATTGAGAGATGTTTAGTAAACTGGAAGGGAGAGATGAATGTAACTTCCAGAAGGCAGCTAGGAAAAATGTAAACAAAAAAAAGGATATATGGGAATGAGGTTCAAAGACATAAACAGCAAATCCACTAGAAACTCAAAAGGAAGGAAAGGAGGAAGAAGAGAGACAATCAGAGAGGGTGTCTGCCGAGAAATGAAAACAAGAGCACTGCAGCCTCTGAGCAGGGAGACGAATGTGGCTGAGGCAGGCCAAGCTGGAGGGTAGGTGAGCATCACTGCAAAACACTAGACAAGAAGAATCTTCGGAGAGCAGCTGGAGAAAACAAATTCCCTTAAGAAGGAATGATAATCAATTGGATAAAGATTTTTAATCAACATGTCAGGACCTACACCATAGCTCCAAGGAACAGAAGAAAATAGCTAGTAATTTAACTACTACTTTTTATTTGGTATTATTACTGTGTGTGTTTGTGGGGGTGCATGTGACAGGATGCACATGTGAACCCCAGAGAACAGCTTGCCGGAGTCAGCTCTCTCCTTCCACCCTGTGAGTTGGTGGGAACTGAACTCGGGTCCGTAGCCTTGATGGCAAAGGCCTTAGCCTGCCCCATATTTGTTCTTAATTCAGTGGTAAGAAGACGCGCCAACAGTTGACGGACTTGCTCAGAACTAGGCATTAACACTTAATTCAGGGGAAACGCCACTGAACACCTAAGTGTGACACAAAGCAGACCATCTATACGAGGTCCTGCAAGCGTTTGCCCTGACACTGCACTCCTAGGCATAAGTTGGCAGTCTTAGAGCTTAGGGCTTAGGGAGAATAGCAACTGGATTCTCAAACTATAGTGATTAACATAAAAGCCTGTACAAGCAGACCACTGGGTTCATGTGTTGAGTTAGCTTTTTGAGTTGAAGAAATTTGGTTGTTTTTTACTTTCTCAAGACTTAACAGTAAATAAGGAATGACAGTAAAGTACTAATGCACGGTAGGCTCTGAATCAACCCCAGTTATTATTATTACTTAATCTTAACTAAGTCCTGTAATTTAAATGTGATTTGAAGGACAGGTTTAATATATCTAGTGAAAAACAGAAACGAGAACACATACTCTGATATCCACCGAGCAGCCCACAGTCCATGACGGATTTCCCAGCACTTGACTGTGGCACAGAAGATGGACAAGTGACGATTTCCCAACACCTGTGGAAGATAAACGGTGTCTGTGAGTGGGGTACGGAGCCCTATGGGACATCTATACCACTGCCTGTAATATACCACTGCCTGTAGGCCGGGGAATAGCTCACAAAATTATTTCAATTCCGTCAGTGACAGGACTCATGATGTCATGATTCCACATGCAAAGAACCTTAGTTCTCACACATTGGTTTTTACAAAGCAGCTAACCACTTTGTTCTAGATTTATCATTTGGATGATAATAATAATAATAATAATAATAATATAATAATAATAATCCTACTCTCTTTTCTTCACCATTGCCTTTTATTTTGAAGCAGTATTTTATCTCTTTCTAGATCTCTTGTGCTCAGACAATCTCGTTACTAACACTAAAGGACATCTCTTGAAGATTTAGGTTGAGGAAAGAAATGAACCATCTATTTACATCCTGTGTAGAGTCACTCATTCATTTAATTGGCTACGAATTGATAATTGTATCAAAAATTCAGGAAGTCTCTCTGGGTTCAATATTATATACGGGTCTATAATTCATGTTTACTTTTTTATTATGAAACCTGTATTCCCAACAACTGAGAAAGTATAAAAAGAAAAAAAAATCACCTTAGACCACTACCGCCAACCATAAGGAGTTTTCTTTTTTCTTTTTTTAGTTTTTCGAGACAGGGCTTCTCTGTAGCTTTGGAGCCTGTCCTGGAACTACCCCTTGTAGACCAGGCTGCCTGAAACTCACAGAGATACACCTGCCTTTCCCTTCTGAGTGCTGGGATTAAAGGCATGCACCACCACCGCCTGGTCATAAGGGGACCATGTTGTGACCATAAACATAGTGTACTTAAAAACAATACAAACTGGCTGAGGTTCAGTGCTTGCCTTCCAAGCTTGAGAACCACAGTTGCATCCACTGGTTCTACACTAGCCAGTGCTACATAGTGGGACCATGTCTCAAACACCCCCTCCTCCCGCCCAAAAACACTGACAAGGCAAGGCGGAAGAGATGGAGAGATGGTTCCTCCATCAAGAGCCTTTGTGGCTTTTGCAGAGGAGACTTGGGTTCAATTCTAAGCTTTGTGGAAAATAATTAAAAATCCACAGTGATCTACATTATGATCATGTTTGCAAATCATTTTTTTCCCGTTCTTACAAATTTTCTACTGATATGCTCTGCTCATTTAACTAATAATGGGTTTTAACACTACTAACTTCTATGACCTTTTGTGTCATACTGTGATACTGGGTATTGAGTACAAGTTCTTGCATGTGTTTAAGATTGGAGGACACACAAAATCAGTTTTGTAATTAAACTTACTGCATAGTGCCTGGCATCTACAGTCTTTGGGTATATTGTTGATTTTGGGCTTTCATATAGGTTTGTGTTGGAGGCATACCTGCTGTGGGACAATGATCTGTACCCTGTCACTTTTATTTTAAATAAATGCTGATTGTCCAGGAGCCAGGCAGGAAGTACTGGTGGGGCGACCAGGCAGGAAGTAGAGGTGGAACAACGGGAATTCCAGGAAGAGGAAAGTTCTTTCTGCAGTTGTGGCCCAGCCTCAGGAAGCAAGATGTGACTGTCTTGCTGAAAAAGGTACTGAACCACGTGGCTAACACAGACAAGAATTAAGGGCTAATATAAGTTATAAGAGTTAATAAGAAGCCTGAGCTAATGTGTCAATTAATTTATAACTAATGTAGACCTCTCTGTGTGATTCTTTGGGACTGAATGACTGCAGAACTGGGCAGGACAGAAAAACTCAAGACAACAGAATGGTGTCCAGTGTGTGGACAGCTGCATCCACATAAAGCCTGAAAGAGGTTGGGAAGTAATTCTAGACATAAAATAATAGAGTTAAGCATGGCTTATTGATAGCAGCACTTTCTTAGATGGGCTCTGCTTGCTAGAGGCAAGCACTCTCATTTAAGAGAGGCTTCCTGACTCAGCTTTAGTTGTAAAACCTTGCAGCTCTTTTAAGAGGTCCTGCTATGAAACACTTAAATGATGTTGATGAAAAGCTGACTGCATGCTTTTTGGTTTTCAGCTGTAGCAGAAAAAAAAAGCCATGCCGTTTTAAAATGCCAGTTTTCTGGGCCATCCTGCCAATGCAAACTCTGACTCTTTCAGGCAGGAGGTCTGGCTACAGAGCATTTGAGTATGGTTTGTGAGTAGGCTGCTACAGCTTGCTTGCTGGTAGGGACCTTGAAATGCCATAAAGTTGTGGCAATAAATATGGCTACAGACAGTACCTCCAGTACCTCTGTCATGAGGCTGGAATCTCAGAAAGCTAAGGAATGGGCTGGATCCAGCCATCAAAACCATGGCTTTAATCCTAGCAATATTGCTTAGCAAACTAAAGACTCATGTGGTCAGAAAAAGAGAGGTATACAGTAAAGAGAGATTCAAAAACGAAGAAAACCTCTAAATGGTTTACAGTGTGTTAAAAATATATGCAGGATTGGGAGAGGAAAGAAAAAGGTTAAAGTCCTTAAAATAAAAAAAGAGAGTATTTAAGGTGTGGTGGCACACACCTTTAATCCCAATATTTGGGAGGCAGAGGCAGGCAGACCTCTGTGAGTTCAAGGACACCCTGGTTTACAGAGTGAGTTCCAGGACAAAGGTACACAGAGTAACCCTGTCTCAAAAAGCCAAAAAATAAAAAATAAAATAAAAATAAAAGAAATAGAGGTTAAAATAAAGCCATGTAAAGATGAAAAATACACAGAAAGTCTGGATACTATATGTTATTATGTTCTCTTTGAATTGTTTGAAGGCCGAGGAAGGTGCAACAGCTGCTAAAAGACATTTAAATATAAATGCTGCTGGATTAATAAAACATAAATATTTTGTAAATGCCTTGTCTTCAAAATTGAAGCCAAAAGATATGCTACTTTGTAGAAGAGGTTTTGCCTTTGTTTCCACAAGAAATGAGAGGCTGTGGATCCATTCCAATTTAAGAAAAATCAGGTTTGATCAAGGAAGACCGCCCCCCCCCCCGAAATCTCCAATAGAAGCGGATAGCCCAGATGTCTGAGTTCTACATCCAGAACATATTCAAGACTGCTGCCTGAGATGATCAAGCCTCACGGGATACTCCAGTCATAACTTGATGATAATTCTAAATTTCCTTTAGGTCCCCATAAGATTATCAGTGCCCCCCAACTAGCAGGAAGTAGCCTGTAAAACTATGCTCACATTCCCAAAAAATGGACTATAAATATTCTCCTTTGCTTAGAATGTTGGTTACAAGTTGTTATGGATAATGGTCAGGAGAAAAGCTAAACAAACAATATTACATTCAGAGTTCTTTTTTTTTAAAAGGGGGGAAGTGCTGTAGGACAATGGTTTGTACACTGTCACTTATATTTTAAATATGTGCTGATTGTCCAGTAGCCAGGCAGGAAGTATAGGTGGGGCGACCAGGCAGGAAGTAGAGGTGGGACAACAAGAATTCTAGGAAGAGGAAAGTTCTTTCTGCAGTTGTGGCCCAGCCTCAGGAAGCAAGATGTGACTGTCTTGCCAAAAAAGGTACCGGGCCACATGGCTAACACAAACAAAAATTATGGGCTAATATAAGTTATAAGAATTAATAAGAAGCCTGAGCTAATGGGCCAATCAATTTATAACTAATGTAGACCTCTCTGTGTGATTCTTTGGGACTGAGTGACTGTAGGAGGACCAGGCAGGACAGAAACCTCAGACAACGCACACCTAGGGCTTTAGTTATCTATCATCTTGATATATGCTTGAGCCCAAAGTTGGCTTAACTGTATGAGGATAAGCATCTCCATGTATTAATATTACATAGTTTATTTAGCTCTCCATGAACTAAATGCTTTGGGTGGTAGCTAAAAGAAAACGAAGCTCTCAACAGTAAGAACAGATGACATCCTGGGAATAGCGAGTGGTTAACTAATTATTTAAGAACTTTGAAACGTTAACATCAATCTATAAACAGATGTCCTTTCACCCACAGATAAATGTAGTCCTCACCGAGGGGTGTCACATTGAAGGAAACATGAAGGAAACGTCACATGGCAGCAGACAGAAACCATTACAGAAAACCACAACCAAGCAGAATGCAGAATGCAGAGCTGTGGAACCCAGTCCCAGTGGATACATCTACAAAACACTCCCGCGCCATAATAATGTTCAGAGAACAGGACGGAAGAAGGGGTGGAATGACTGTAAGAGCCGGAGGATTGGGGAGTGTGCTGTGAGATTGTGACTCCTAGTGATCTCAGAAGCTACACCCATGAAGTCCAGTCAATATGAGTGCCCAAACACGAGCTGAACAAGAATGACACCAACAAACACACCACACTGGACAGGGAAAAAAACCCACGAGGCCTCACCCCTACACCAAGAACTACAGACAAGGGTAAAGCTGGGAATGGGAGAGGTGGTCCTCCCCAAGAAAGGACACACCAGCTGTTTGTCCAGTACCAAACACATAGAAACTAGTAGCATGATTAGGACATAACAGGTTATAGTTAGGAATATACATGTATATGCAAATACTGATATGCGGGCAATAATAGTTAATGAAAAAAAAGAGGCCATAAATTTGAATAAAAGCAGGAGGGGTAAATTTAAAGGTTTAGAGGAAAGAAAAGGTAGGAAGAAACGTTCTAATTAAATTATAATCTCAAAAGTAAAAAATTATAAAAAGCTGAAATGTTAAAAAAAATGGGGGAGGGCCAGGCTGTGGTGGCGCACACCTTTAATTCCAGCACTCGGGAGGCAGAGGCAGGCGGATCCCTGTGAGTTCGAGGCCAAGCTGGTCTACAAGAGCTAGTTCCAGGACAGGCACCAAAAACTATGGAGAAACCCTGTCTCGAAAATCCAAAAAAAAAAAAAAAAAAAAATGGGGGAGGGTTAAGACTGATTTTAGACTTAGAATTAAATAGGTCAGCTATTTGGGATATATGTCCTCTCTACTCTCAAGCATCCAGTAAATGTCTGTTTAGAGTACCAACATTTAAAAGCGTATCTATAAAATGCATGGCTGGGGTGCATTCAAGTTCTTGAGAGCTGGAAATGGGAAAGAGACAAGTTATGAGGCAGGAGGAGAAAATATAGACTTTAATAGTAATTATAAAATGGTCAGGTTATAAAAACGATTTTGACACTAAATTAAAGTGTATTTAGCATTAAGCTGCTTCATAGTGTGACCCTTATCAGATTTTTTTATTTTGTACATCTCAAAACCTCATAGGTATTCGACTATCAGATGAGAACAAGGAAGTGAAAAAGGAAATCATGACTACCATTTAAGATCACATTGCATGCTACAGTTTACGACTTTGGGTTCGTACTAGTTAGCTTCACTTTTATCATCTGTAGAATGGAGTTACAAGGTCTGATTTTAGAATTAAAGATATTAATACGTGTCAGAGTATTCTTAGTGTATATTCGACTTAATGAACAAAGTCTCCTGAAAGGGCGGTTATATCAACTTTTGTCTGCCTAACAAGAGCAATATAGGAATTGACAACATAACCCTCGGCCAGGGTCGCCTGGGAGACGGACGTGAAGAAAACCAAAAGCAGAGAAAGACCCGGGCTCCGCGCCCCCCACCTCCCGACACGCTACCACGTCGTCTAAAGGAGCAAAGTCCTCTGGGAAGTGTAGTTTTAAGGTCTTGGAAAGGATTTCAGCCATGAACCCAAACGCTAGGAAGTTGGGGGTAAAGCAGCGAAGAGTCGGGAGTATCCGGTAGCTAGGGCGTATCGGGAGTTCCAGACGTGGGCTAAGCGGCTCACCTGAGTCTCCCAACACCAGAACCTTCACTCGATCCAGGGACGCCATCTTGCCACGATTTCCTTGAGGTTAACGCCCATTCCTGGATTCCCAGCCAATCAGATCAGGGTTTGAGGGCAGGGCTTACCATCTCATTGGTCGGTCAGAGCATGAGTGGTTTGAGTGAAAGCTTCGCCGTGCGGATTAACGGGTGGTTTCCAAACTGGTCGCAGGAATTAGGCGTTTGTCCTTGTCTCGCAAGTGGCGTGGGCTGGCTGAGGCCGGTAGTTGAGGTGCCGACAGCGGCTGTAGTGGGAGTGTTGGAGCATCCGCTTGGGTAAACCTTATTCCCTGATCCTTGTTCCCGGTTTCTGACCTGGCGTGGTATTTCATGGTTTTCTCCTGTCCGTCCCCGCCTTCTCTAGTCCCCTCTCCTCGACCACCCTCTTGTCTTGGTCCTCTTCTTAATCTTCCAAAGAACCATTGCCCGGGAGCGGCCCATGTGCGACCTCGGGTAGGACGGACTCGGCGGCATCGACTGTGGTCCGGGAGCCCCCTGGGACTGTGGGGTGTCGGAGTCTGGACGCTCCTGAGCACAGCTGGTGGAGGGTCCCTGGGTTCGCACGGGCCCCTTACAGGACGAAGGGATGGAGAGTTCGTGAAATACAGTAACAAAAACTGTAGAGGCCTCGTCGAATCCAAGTTCTAGAACTTGGGAAGTAGTATTTTGAAATAGTCGTAACAAACCAGGCGTCCTGCACCCACTTTGTTCTTTTATCTTCCACTCTTCATCCAGCGTAGTCTTTTTTTTTTTTATCACAAATTTAACTTCGTAACTCCTTGCTTAAAGTAGTGACAGGTTTAAAAAGAAAAGGATGCCTTATAGTTGTCGTTATTGTGGATGCAGGTGTGAAACAAGTGAATTCTGTGGAAGCTGACAGGATACGTGCCCGGAAGATGTATTGAAAGTTTGATTTAAGTACTTGAGTAGCTTATGCTAGGTGCTAGCGTTGGTGAACAAGATGAAGTTTCTGATCCTAGAGATGTAGGTAGAAACTGTACAAATTATGAGGAAATGTGAAGGAGAGCATTAGATGCTACTGTTGCGAAGACCAAATAACATGACCCAAAGCCTAAAGACCTTTAAGAAAATACTTTGGGCTTATCGTTGAGGGCTGAGGGAACCGGTGTGTGGATATGAGGTTAACTATGGCAAAAGCAGAGGGATTTCAGCTTTGTTTCTCCCAACTCTACACCTGGGCCACGGCAGTCCTTAATTATTGCTGTTATTATTTTGGTTTTTTTGAGACAGTGTTTTTCTGTAGCTTTGGAGCCTATCCTGGAACTAGCTCTTGTAGAGAGCAGGCTGGCCTTGAACTCACAGAGATCCGCCTGCCTCTGCCTCCCTAGTGCTGGGATTAAAGGCATCCACCACCACCGCCTGGCAGTTTTTAAATGTTTGTACAATTAGAATATAGGTCTAGACTGGGTAGGGTGAAGTTGGGAGATGCCTGTTTACTGTGAAGAGAGAGATAAAATAAGAACATTACACCGAGAAGGCTCCATAGAGTAGAGAAGTTCCTCTCTTAGGTGTCAGCGACTGTAGAAACTAACTAATCTGGAAATGTGGGCTCACTGTTTTTTTTTTTTTCACTATCTCCAGTTTTTAAGAGTTGTGGGACGCTGAAGTCTATATGCATTATATGTTACATGTGGACAACTGAGTCATAAAATGTTCTAAACATTCCATATGGGCTGCCAGTTTCAGGGCTCAATCTCAGTGGCTTTGATCCAGAGACTGGATAGTCTAGATTGGGGAAGTAGTGAAGGAGCGAAGGCTCTGGTCAGGAAGGAGGAGTTAAAATTTGAGAGTCTTGGACTAGCCAGCCTGCCTGAGCTCCAGTTTCATTAGTTACTCCTTTGTGTGTGTCTTCAGGGGAGTAGCATGTATTTCACCCGAGTCAGGCTTCTGAACGTGAGGTTACCTCTTCCTCATGCATTCCCCTCCTCACAACGGCTCGAAACGCTACTTGGGTTTTTTTTTTCCTAGCATATTGTTGGGTCCTTTTGATTGTGTTTCTGTAACAAATTGCATTCATCGTGTCCTTGCAATTCTTCCTTTCTTTCTCAGTTTAGGTTTTCTTACTACAGCACCTGATACAGCCACAATGCCACCAGCTACATCTCATCAGCTCACTGGTGTAAGAAGTCAGATGGGGGAATTTGTTCTGTTCAGTTGAACCCATATACCAGCCCAGAAGCAGAGCATGTTAGATCTGATTTAATTCATACATTAACTGCATGAGAAAGGCACTTTAATTACATATGTGAGGAAACCGAGGCTGTGGGTTTTCTGGGGCCAACAGTAAGAAGTTGGCCTGGAATTTCCAAGCTTCAAACTGTTGGCCAGAAAAGCCTTGATGTCACCCCTTTGCACTGATCCGCAAGACCGCGGAGGTCCATCCGACAGAGGAGCCAGGCCGAACAGCGAGCAGTGCAGGGACCTCTCCATGCGGAGTGTTCATTTGCAGGATGCAAAATAGCCATGGGACAGATTGGAGTAATGATCATGGACTTTGTTGATTATTAGAGTAATCTAGAGGGATTTTAAAATTAGGGGCATTCCTAATCTGGTTCTTCTATATTAGCTGAAGCAGTGCTCCTGGGAATGGGGCCCAGGGTTGGTTAGTATGCTTCAAATGCTAGCTAACTGATTCGACTTTGCAGAGTTGAAAGCAAATGCTCTGAATCTTAGAGTGTGAGGATGGGGACAGAGGAGAGCAAAGCAATGGGAGGCGATACAGAAAACGATAGGTGTGACGGCCTCGTCTGACCTTTGGCATGTTTCTGAAGTTGTGTTCTGTTCTGTCAATGACTGGGCATGTAGAAGAAAAAGCAAAATTTGGTTTTTAGTACACCGTGTAGACAAAATTGGAAAGATGATCAAAAGTATCTGATGGTGTGTTGTGGTTCTGATTTGGTAATGAATCCAGACATTCCTAAACATCTAGGGTGACGTCGAGGCTCTAGGATTGCCGGTTTGAACCTAGTGAGTCTAGGCGCTACTTCGTTATCTCCACGTGTGTATGGTTATGCCTGAGTACTGTGGTTTAAAATAGATATTGTAACCTAATTTTTCCTTTATTGTAAGTATGACCTTAACCACCCCTCCCCATAAAAAGTGTATGTATTGGTTATTTAGGATTTTATAATATAGTACTGCAGATATTATTTCTTACAGAAAGAAGCGTTAAATCTGATAGGGCGGTTACTTCAGAGTTCAATTAAAGGTTCAGTTGAAAACTGGGGTTAATCACAATGTGATGCTCATAGAAATGGTTCAGCAGGTGTCTATTAAATTCTTTTCTGTATAATCAGAAATGCCAGCTGTGGTCTGCGGAGAGCCTAGAGAGCCTGGCTAGTTCAGTCTGGTCCTATCAGAGTTAGGTGGAAGCAGCCCTAGTTAGCACGTCCTCCTGGCACCACTCAATGCTCTCATTCATCACAGCACCCATTTCCTTCTGAGTGAAGCCTGTGTAAGCCTTGGTCAGGCTCAGACAGCAGCCGGAATGTAGCCTCTCTGACTTGAGTCCGCAGCTCAGGCGCTGTCACATGTCAGAGACTTGAAGAGCACAGCTTTCTGAGCTGTGGCCTGCAAGATAGATACTGTCGGCATCTGCTTTGCTCTTCAAGGAGCCGAGTATCAAAGGGGTCCCATCCTTCTTTTCCTTCCTATTTTTTAAGGTTTAGAAGGCATTTACTGAATAATTAGATTTAACTTCCAAAGCTGGTAAAGCACTTTTGGATCTTAGCGTTAATTTCTCATCCCGACAACGGCAAGTTACTTATGTGCTTATTCTGTTCTTAGTGTGTGACTTCAACGTGGAAGTGTTACTATGTAAACATTCTTGAATCTTAGCGGGAAAATTTTGCTGAAAAGAAGTGTAGTCTAGGGTAATTGTTCGGACTCTCTTGATTTCTCGCCATTCCTAGAGAGCATGCCGTTAAGAATAGTGAACTCTCTCAGAGGTTTGTGTTTTGTTCCTGTTTCTCTTCGTGAACCAAAGTGGTGATGATGTAATATATCATTGTCAGAAATAACATAGGATTATGTCAGGCTCTTTAGGTGTGGTCTTTTGTGTGCTATAGAAGAAGACCTGGCTTTCTGTTAAATACTGAAGTGTGAGAAATCTTTTAAAACAATGTCTGAATGCTTTTGTGGTGCTTTAAGAACAATGACAGCTACCGGTTAGAGGTGGTTGTAGATTAAAATGATTATCATGTCCTCATGCCTACTAATCCCCACCCCCCAATCCATATAGTTGAAGCTTGCTGTTGAAGATGGCAGACCCAGATGTCCTCACCGAGGTTCCAGCAGCATTGAAACGGCTAGCCAAGTATGTCATCCGGGGCTTCTACGGCATTGAGCACGTGTTGACTTTGGACATCTTGATCCGAAACCCTTGTGTAAAGGAAGAGGACATGCTGGAGCTGCTCAAGTTTGACCGGAAGCAGCTTCGGTCTGTTTTGAACAACTTGAAGGGAGACAAGTTCATCAAGTGCAGAATGAGGGTAGAGACGGCTGCGGATGGGAAAACCACGCGCCATAACTACTACTTCATCAACTATCGCACTCTTGTTAATGTCGTCAAATACAAACTGGACCACATGAGAAGGAGGATTGAGACGGATGAGAGAAATTCCACCAATCGGGCTTCCTTCAAATGTCCCGTCTGTTGCAGTACTTTCACGGACCTAGAAGCTAATCAGCTGTTTGACCCTATGACAGGTGAGACTTACCCAGTTTATGAATCAGGTAAACTAAGATGGCTACTCGCTCTTTGTAATTGTTCTAAGTTGTAAGCCAATCATAGGCTTTGTCGGAGTGAGTAGATCAGTGTGAATCAGCATACAGCTCTGCTGTCTTGGATGCTTGGCTTACAACTCTGAGGAGTTTTTGCATTGCCCTTTTCCTTCACACGGAAGTGTACTTTCCATGGAGTTCTCCCACTGATGGCGCTCCTGAGCCCCCCACCCTGTTTGCTGCTGCAGCCTAATCTCTGGGTTGATTCTCTGCCACTTTGAGGCTCTTCTGACTTGTGACCTCATTCTTCAGCAAATTATTTTAAGTCTATTTATGTCCATCACTGGCAGGCAAGCTTATAAGCATATTGAAGGAGACCCCTGTATAGCGGGGACTCCCACTCAGACCCTAGATTAAGCACAAACCACACCCAAACACCTGTTTTCACAGAGAGAGCCTTGATTAAGCGGGAAAGAAAAGTGGCTGCTTCCTCACTCGGGCAGAAACAGCAGCAAATGACCTTGCAGGTGTGACTTTTAAGAGGAGGAAAAGGGGAGGTCTGTGTTAGGATGGGCTAGGATGTAGTGGTGAGGGAGATAGGGGACCTGAGCGGGGAAGGGGGGAGGGGGGCAAAGGAGATGGAGAGGAGACAGATGTGGCACATGGAAATGGCAGTTTATAAAGGTAAAGGGGAAAATCCCATGTTAGGATGGGGTGTTTAATTTTAATTGGGTGTCTTAATTAGGTGAGCCAAAGGGGGCTCTTGATAGCTGATCTTTGGTAGTTAGCCTTAGGAGGAGGAAGTGACCAAATAAAGAAATAGACCTTGGTGGGTAACCTGAAGAATATAATCTAATGGGTCTTAGCAAGGCAGAGGGAGTGGGGGAGAGGAACAAGGCCTTCCCTGCCATGTTTACCAGGCCTTGGCTGGCCAGAGTCCCTTCACATTGACACAATAGGCTTAAATGCTTTGCCAGTAGAGTGTGTAACTAGGACATGTGCTGTGGATTTGGGGGAGGTCTCCAGAGGGAGGAGTAGCTGAGACCTAAAAGATTAAATGAGAATTAACCAGACCAAATAATTTAATCTAACAAATGGATCAATAATTTAGATCAATTAATGGAAGAGAGTTGTTAATAGCATATATGATGTGCCTCATTTAATCAGATACTGTACTTTTAAGAATTTTCATTAACACAATTTATGAACCATGTTTTCCAAAAATATAGTATATCTGGCATTAATATGAGAAACATTAAAGTGCTGGGTTAAATGGTTATTTTTAAATTAAACTAGGCATGAGACAATTTTTTTTGTCAAATACTTGGACCAGTTTTGTCTTGTTACTTTTAGTGGGCTCATTTTATCTGGGAGAGAGGGTTTTGTGTTTTTTGTTTTGGTTGTCGTTTGTTTTTGAGACCAGATGGCCCTTTTGTGCTCAGGCTGGAACTCACTGAGTTGACCTTGAACTACTGTTGACCTTCTGCCCCGGTCTCCTGAGTGCTGGTGTCTTATCCGGGTACCACCCTGCCTCGTGCATTGGTTGCTTTTTGTTACTGTGATAAGGCAACACACCCGAAACTGACTTGTGAAAGAGTTTTTACTTTTAGTTTACAGTTCCAGAGGGCGGGTCTGTAATGGTGGAGAAGACGTGATGGCAGGCGGTTGGAGCAGCAAGGCTAAGAAGATACTAGGCTTCATTTACACTGCAGGAAGCAGAGGGAGCTAACTGTCAGGGACTGACGTTATAAACTTTCCAAGTCTGGCCCCAGTGACATACCTCCTCTGGCAAGGGTCTACCTCTTAAAGTTTACCCTCCACAAATAGTACCGTCAGCAGGAAGTTAAGTGTTCAAGTACTTGAGCCTATGGGAGACATTTCTCATCTAAAGGCTCACACCTAACTAGGAGAACTCTTTTATTTATTTATTTATTTATAAATAAAAATTTCCACTTTCTCCCCTCCTCCCAATACCCTCCCATTCCCCCCACTCCCTCTCCTCCTCCCTCTCCAGTCCTAAGAGCTGTCAGGGTTTCCTGCCCTGTGGGAAGTTCAAGGTCCTCAGCCCTCCCTCCAGATCTAGGAAGGTGAGCATCCAAACAGACTAGGATCCCAAAAAGCCAGAACGTGCAGACGAAACAAGACCCAGTGCCATTGTCAATGGCTTCTCAGTCAGCCCCCATGTCAGCCACATTCAGAGAATCCGGTTTGATCACATGCTTGTTCAGTCCCAGTCCACCTGGCCTTGGTGAGCTCTCATTAGATCAGTCCCCATGTATCAGTGGGTGAACGCACTGCTCGCGGTCCTGATTTCCTTTTTCATGGTCTCCCTCCTTCTGCTCCTCATTTGGACCTTGGGGGCTCAGTCCAGTGATCCAATGTGGGTCTCCGTCTCTATCTCCATCCATCGTCGGATGAGGGTTCCCTCTGATCCTGCCTTCCTTGCTCACGTTCTCCCTCCATCTGCTTCTCATTTGGACCTAGGGAGTTAAGTCCAGTAGGAGAACTCTTTTTTGTTGTTGTTGTTTATTTATTGTTTTTTCAAGATAGAGTTACGCTCTAGCTCTAGCCAAAGGTGATCAGGAGCCCACTATTTTACACAGCCTGGTCTTGAACTCTTGGTAATTCTACGCCAGGCCCCCTAATCCTGGGATTATAGATATGAGGTACAATGCTTGGCTATGAGATCTTGACCATCAGAAAATCTAATTAACTATCTTGGGTGTAAGCATTGTTTGCGTATGCCAGAGGAATTTCTAGAATGTACCCGGAGCTCTTCATAAATAGGCTAGCTAAGTCTTGGGATTTTTGTCATTTACTGTACTAGGTTTCTTACAGCAGTTAAGGGTTCTGGTTTTGTTGTTTTTGTTGATGTTACCGTGGTCTGTCTTATCCTACTGGATGACAGTGAGAGGTGGTGTCGAGCTTCTCAGAAAGTTAATCTGTAGCAATATGCTTCTGCATTTATTCATCATTTGAGTCCTATTTCATTTTTGTGAAACTTTTATAGATATTAACCCATGCTGCTTTTTGATTATCACCATGTTTTGTGTGGATGAAACGAGTTGTAATCAGCAGATAGCCTTTGGAAAAGTTGTCTTGATTCACAAGTATAGCTAGGGTTATTAGCGTGAAGGAGCTGATAGTGAATGAAGGCAGGAAAAGATTTTTCTGAAAAGAAACTAAAGCTGAGATGAACGTTTTGTTGCTAGTCTGAGCACAGACTGTATTTCCAGTATGAGGGTGATAGGCAGCATGAATGTAGGGAGAAGGTCTGTGGGAGAGCAGGAAAAACCACTAACTCTTGACGTCATCGAGAACAGAGCATCTGAAAAGCTTGCACTAAAGCTCAGTTGGTGGCTTTTTTGCTCCGGGTGCAGCCTGACTTAGCATAACTGAAAATTTGTGATCAATCAAGGACTCTTGTTGTCTAATGTGCTTACCATCTGATAATGATGTGGCTCTTACCGGGCTTTACAGAAGAACAAAATATGCTGTTTATTAGGCCCCATTCTGGGTGTTAATTCAGAGGTAACAAGCATTTGTGTGTGTGTGTTTTAATTCTTAAACTACTATACCTTGATAGTCTTCCTTTGTCTTTAGAAATCCTTGTGGGATCCCCCACCCCCTTTATTTCCTCCTTGTTTTGTTTAGTTTTTATCTCTCCCGACTTCATTATGGAGAAAATGGGAAGTAAACATACATGAGGCAGGGCTACGGGGTCCTTTCTCTGATAATATTTACACACTGTTTACACTTGTACACAGTCCATTTCCTCCTAACCTCAGTCCTCTGCACACCTCACATTTATCCTATTTGCAGGCTGATACTGAAGGTTAATGGTGTCTCTGGTGTGATGATGGAGAGGACTGAAGGGCTTCTTTGTTCGGTTGGTTAGGTTTTGAGAATGGGACTCAGGTAGCCCAGACTGGCCTTGAGCTTGCTTTGTAGTTGAGAATGATCTGATTACTGACCTTCTGCCTTTACCTTCTAGGTGCATAGAATATAGGCCTGTGTCATCCACTAGCTAAGATGGGGACCAGAGAGCTCCTCTTTCTATTTTGTCCTCAGCCATTCTAGGTTGAACTGTGGTTTATTTTACCTTCAGGTAACATTTAGTAATTGGATTAGAGCCTTCCATACTTTGATACTTTGGTAAAAAGTTCTGAACTCAAATATGTGGGCAGCTCTTTGCTAATGAACAAAAGGAAGTAACTCCTAGATGAACTCCCCAGGAGCATGGGGAATTCTGTATTCAGTGAGGAAGGATTATTTTGCTGTCAATTCATGTATAGGCCAGTGATCTCATACTATAGTATAGTTTTTCCCTACCACCTATTCTTTTCCTACAGATTTGTAGATTTTCTCCATCTTAGCCATTCATCCTGGTCTTCCTGGGTCCAGCTATGAATGTTTGGTCTATGGAGAGCCTTCCTCCCTCCCCACTCCCCCATTTAGAGTAATTTTCAATGTGGTCAACATTTAACAAGCAACACAACTTGGTCATCCACACAGTTCATGTGCAATGCAGTTGCAAAAAAAAAAAAATTGAAAAAAAAAAACAGAAAAAAAAAACCCTAAATATGTTTTAAGTAAATTTATGATTTTTTTATTGGACTGCATTCATAGTTAGCATATGGCTAGTGGGCTGCAGGTTGGACAAGCTTGGTAGTCTCTGCCCACCAGTTCTGAGCTTCAGAAGTTTAATCAGACAAAAATAGCTGTTTCAGTTCCAGAAATATGGGGAGGTTATATAATTAAAACAGACATGACATGAGATCCCTCAGATCAGCAGAATAGCATTTTGTGGTTCCTAAGTGCATGTTTTAGATTTAGCAAGCTTTCTAACAATGTAAATAGACTCAGTATTTCTATCTTAACACTTGCAGTCACATGTGATGTAGCTAATGGCACTTCTGAGTTAAGTTTAGCAACATGTGTTATTCTCTTTATATGTTAGGGTTAGCTGAAACGGAAATAGCTTT